TGAGATATATACTATAAATCTTGCAAAGCCGAAAGCAAGAAAGTTTTCTTCTGTACAGGCAGAGGTAGATTTGTTCTCCCAAGGGTCCTACTTCTCCAGTGTTTCGCTTGCAGCTAACTCGGGTGACACTGTCAGCCTTAGCAGCCCTTGCCAAATTGTTTCTTTCCACAGCTTGAGATCTAAATTATGCAGCATCTCTCATACCTGCATAGCACTATCATTGATCACACAACACTTGGGACAGGAATTGCTTTTCAGCAGCCTGAAAGCCACAGACTGATCACTTTGCTCTTCTAGTATGTGGCGTAACCAGTATCTATAGAAAAGCTCAGCTTTTTCCTTTATAACAGGGAGGTTGCTTTATCTGTCTTTCAATTCACTTTGTCACTATACTTCATCTGAAAGACATCAAGTCTGCCTCTGTCAAGTGCCAACTAGTAAATAAATTTAGAGTAATTTCAATTTCTGCAATAGTTGGTCCCCTCTCCACAGGTACATCTGTTCTCTATGCCATATCCTTGCACCAATAGAACAAGCACAGTATTTTGCACCCCCCACCCCCGCCCTGGAAATTTAGGTTCCAAAGCTTGCCCGAGCCCTATCGTGTTCTGACTCCTCCGGTACTGCACCTTGCCACATCAGCAATGAGACCTCAAAAACTCCACCGCTATTGAGCTAGCTCTTCAGACCTCAGATCAGTGGCTTTTTCCCCTCGTGCTGCCTCTCCTTACGTGCCTATCCTCCAGGGCAATCCTCTTCCAGGCCGATTCCTCAGCCTTAGCTAACAAGGCTGGGACTCCTGAGAAAAAAACAGAGCTGCATCTGATCCTAGTATGGCATCCTTCCAGCTCAGCCCAGTTTACCCACTGTACAGGTGACAGGGAGCACAAACACAGCATACCCAACACCTTCAGCGCTGCCTCCTTTTCATCTCTTTAGAGAACTGGCTCAGGAAAATTGTTATTCCCTCCATGACTCCCAGAGAGAGAGCACTAAAAAAAGGTGGATAAGGTTTTCCAAATGTTTCACACCAGTACAAGCTAAGAACTGCTGAGTCAAACTACCCTAGTCTCCATTTTCACCATTCACTGTACTTTTTCAGATTCTTTCTTTTAAAAGGACTAAAGTATGTCCTATCCTGATCATGTATATTGCAGACAGCTAAGAAAGGTACGGTCTTAACAGAAAACACCCAAGGATCCAATCATCAACTGACCTGTGCTATCAGAGCATGTGTACATGCTTGGCTTAATCTAGTTATGACACCAGACATTCTCTTAATTAGCCTGAAGGGTTGCTGAAGCCAATGCACTGTGTTTTCCAACTGCTGCACGCTGGGAGTGCACAGGCTGCTGCTTCAGGTCAGCTGCCAGGGTAGTACCTTGATAACATGACTACCTCTCAGAAAGCAAACAAGTGACAGAAGAGGCTTAATACCACGTCATTGAACAAGGTCATGAAATATTAGCAGCTTACCTTCTTGACAGTCATTGTGGCAAAACACAACTGGTGATGAAGTGGCTTCAAGCATCGCTCTAGAAAACAGCAATATAGGATCTTGTAAGTAACACATCACCAAGTTCAGTTCCACTTCCAAGTAAAGAATGGATTTTGTTGTAAGAATTTGAAGTGCTATTCATTTCTAGCGAGACCCTACTTTCTCAGTTAGGAGCCCAAGATCAGGACAATGAAGTTGGACTTCACCGATCAGCAAGTCAGATCAGCAATTGATCGTATTCAATTTGTAGTCATATGAGACTCAGGTTGGTTACAGAACCAAAAACAATCCCCAACTTGTAAAGTAAAATTAATATATGGTATTATACTGTATGTGTTTGAACAAGTATACAAATTCATACTGAAACTGTGCAAATTGCAAGACAGTGGTAGACAAAATAAGACTACCTTAGATTTTTCATTTCCTGAGGGAGATTGTAACTGAGGAGTTTGTTCAGTTTTCTAGTTCTGGATTCTCTGGTAAATTTAATCCTCAGCACTTGATTTAGATATCTGTTAAAAATAGAGACAATAGTACAGCAGTTGTGACAATAAGTATATTAGTCTTCCCATACTAAGACACTATTTAAACCAAAATCAAGAAAGTTTAAAAAAAGAGTTACTAAAGAAAATGTTACTATTCTTCAAGGTAATTTAAGTTGCTCAAGTAACTATGAAACAGTTTCTGGGTACAGTGAGAGCTTGTGCTCTCAGGCATTCAGGAAGAATGATCTGCTTATCAAAATTAAAACAGGCCACCTTTTTTCCATACTTTAAAGTATTGCGTAACTTACTTTTCCATTGTTCCAAAAAGCCACTTAGGTTCTTTATTAAATGGCATTTTCATGCCATGAAATCTAGCCATCTTCTCAGCTATTTCAGCAGATATGTCAGGTAAGCTTAATTCTTCAGTACTTAGTTTCCTGCTCTGTAATAAAATATAGGATTCTTAAAATACAGTTAATTGATTAATTACAAAAGTGTGATTAATTACAAACACTAGCATTAGTCTCTATATAGTACAGTATAAAATACTAGCATAGTATTCAAGCAATACACTTTTTTCATCCCAAATGAACTTATAAGATTGCTGTCTTTTGAAAAGCCAGGTTAGCCAGCCTAGCTTACTTACGACTTAGTCAATTCTGTTCTAGATCAAGACCTGGGGAATATCACATCTCACACTAAGAATATCTGCAAAGTAGAAGTGTAAATATTTAAGAACATCAAAAGCATCTGCTCTTGTTGCTGTTAAACGAAAGTGTTACTCCATAGCTTCCAATGCTATGTTTGGTATTTAACAGGCTTTTTATCTTCATTTATTAGTCTCTGCTACAGCTGAAGAGTTTTTAGGTCTCTCTCCCTGGCTAGAGCTATAATTGGGCTCTCCAACACGCACTATGACTGTACCAAATTACAGCCAGCGATTACTACAGGCTGCCAACTGTTCTATTCCCACATCCCTGCTTTTCTGGGCAGTCCAGAGACCTTTTTGTCACGATCAATTACAACAGCTACCAGCAGCCCACTAACTGATCACGAACAGGACTTACGGGAATGAATTCCTCCAGCCGCCCTTGCGGAAAGATTCCATACAGCTTTGGGCCGAGAGCTCTCTCTGCAAGAATGGCAAACATAACACTTCCCAGAACCATGGCTTCTGCCCCCTACAAAAAGAAATTAAAGCGTTAGTTGGTGCTTGCACAGAAACGAACAATGTGTGCACAATAGCTAAACTGCTACAAAGTAAGAAGTTTTAGGGTTAGCTTTAAAAAGAAGACTCAACATTTTGCTAACCAAAGTTTCTTGACTAATAACAACTTGTACTTAGCACGGGAGCAACACAAGTATTTTGCTTTCGAGTTTAAAGCTGAGGAGCAAAATCTGTATTGCTTAACAGGTACTGTTGATGGGCCAGGTCAAAGGAAAACTATGCAAAAACCAAAACACCCTCTCCTCCCTAACCTGTGGGAACTCTGCAAATTCATTTCCTGAAGGAGTTTCTCCTACTGAAGCACAGCACAGGAACTATCAATATTATCCTTGGCTACCTTAACACACTTTGGAACACTGCGTTGCAAAAGCACATTTTAACTATGCAAGTGAATGAAGTGAATGACTGAACTAACCAGTTTTTCATTTAGAAGAACGACTTAGGATTTGTTACCATTAAGCACATTTCAGGTCTTCCCTCTTTTTTTTTTAAAAAAGAGAATAATTTAAACTCCTGCTAAGGAGCATGTGTGTGTGAATAAACATTTTTCCTTTTCTACCTCCAAACATACCTCAAGTTTCAACAATTTTTCTTCAAGGTTTTCCTTACATCAGTAAACTCAGTCCATAACAATCACAAGCAGACAGCTTTTTAATATGAATGTTTAAAAATAAATAGAAATATGAAACATGTCTCAAAAATACAGTCACAGTCACTAAAGTATAGCTTTCTTAATGGGTAAGATTAGCTGTAAGTAAACACAGAAGCCACAGTATAAATCACTACTTCTAGCAATTATGTTAACCGGAATCCAGTTGTACTCAAATCCTAGAGGTCTAAGCCTCTGCCTACTTTTGAGCAACGCATCTCAAAGTGTGACCCATGACACTTAAAAGCATAAGAATTAAGAGCACAAAATTAGGAAAGCTCTCAGATATTTCAGACTACAGAGCCTTTTGCATTACTGTGGTCACTGCAGTGACAGTAAATAACTCTTTCTATACAAGTTCCACTCTTGAGTACACTCTGGGCAGTTCCGTTGATACATTATTTTTATTACTGGTCCACACTTTATTATTCTGGCATCTTCTCAAGGAATTCTACCATTTCATATTGAAGTGTAGGAAAGACTCATGTAACTATGTTCTGAAGCATTAACTTCAATAAAAAGTAAAAGAGTCATCAAGAATAGCAATTGAGAGTTTAAGATAATTTGCATATGAGTATATTGCACCCATGTCCTCCATTTTTCCATCTCAACTCCTCGAAGCAGAACTAATACACCAAAAATATGTACTTTTAATCATTTCACGTGCCCTCACCACCACAGATCTGAACTCTTCAGTTCAATTCTGAAGCCTAATGCCAAGCACCAAAAAGCAAATTAAGTACAGGTTATTGAATGTCTACTCCATTATTAGCCGATATTGAATTTGTCTGTGCCTGGTACAACACCAGGGTGTTTTAAAAGTCTGATTACAGCAATCCTGTTGGCTGTTCCCATTAAGATGTCAGTTCCTTGTTTTCACATCTTACTAAAAACCCAACTTATGATACTTGGATAACAGCAAGTGCCAAAGAAATGTTCTTCATTAAGATTTCCCTTAATGCATCAGAAGTGACAACCAGAAATAGTGAAATTTCCAATTACTCAGCAGTGCACTTCTGGGTTACTTCTGCCATGTGTCTGCCTAGCCCTAGTCCTTTAAGACATGCTTAAAAATTTAGAACCTTTAGATAATCCACAACTACACGAATGCAAGTTTGTAAACTTCTGTGTCAGCAGTGATAACAAGGATGGCTGCATCTCTCCATGAAAGATCTGCTTCGATGGTTGACACGCATTGGAACAAGCTGCCCAGGGAAGTGGTTGAGTCACCATCTCTGGAGGTATTTAAGACACGTAGATGTGGTGCTTAGGGACATGGTTTAGTGGTGGACTTGGCAGTCTAGGTTAACAGTGGGACTTGATGATCTTAAAGGTCTTTTCCAACCTAAATGATTCTATGATTCTAAGATTAAAAAGTACAGGCAAATATTATCTAAAAGCAGCATAAGAATATTCAAGTTTGAATGCTCTGGTGCCTGACTCTTAAAAGACAAAAAAAGTTTAGAGCACCAAAAGAACTTCCTCTACTGTAACAGAATGGTCACTTGAGAATAAGTCAAATGAGAGCTCTAGAATAATACCACCTACATATCTCAGGCACAAAGGCTTCTCCTTCATAATACCTGATGGACCTTTTACCAAATCTCCACTCCATACACTACTGTCAAGTACAGATGTGGAAATGAACTACTAAAGGACATTAGAATATTGTCATATGGACACTGAACAAATCTAGGTATCTAACTCTTCAGTTAATTGTTCACCTGATGACTTTAAAGGATCAAGCATTATAACTAAGTAAATTATGTATCTCAATGCCTTCAAATACTTTGCAATATACTTATACTGCCAAGACAACAACCTGTTGTTTTAAGCTCTGAAGCTCTCAATATTAATCAGTTTCAAACATGTAACCATGAGCACTTGAATTTAAAACAAGCTTCTGGAGAAGATTTGACCACTCACACTTTTAAATGAATACTCAAAGCTGAATGTTGCATTTCAAACTTAAGAATTATAAACACTCTTTACAAGACTTTTCCAGTACGCAACTCCCATTCAGCAAGGAGAGATCAAAAGCTTTTCTATACTTCAGTTGGAACTGAAGCTTCTGCTTTATTCTTGCTTCAACAAACAGCTCACTATAAAATACATGGAATAGTAATATTTTGAGGAAAATTATCCCTAACTATAGCAAAACCCTGGAAGTGTTCAAGGGCAGGTTGGATGGGGCTTTGAGCAACCTGGTTTAGTGGAAGGTGTCCCTGCCCACGGCAGGGGGGTTGGAACTAGATGATCTTTAAGGTCCCTTCCAATCCAAACCGGTCTATGATTCTAAAACCAAGGTATAACATAGATAATCTCTGTTAAAAGACCTTATGAGCTGACAGAAGTCTATCCCATCTCTAGTCACAGTTGTCAAACACCAGGCAGCTCAGAACAGCTACAATGCTTTTGCTAGTGATCCAGAACATTTTGGGATTACCCAGAGGTGTTTCTTCTCTCCAAAGGATGACATTAACTCCTCCGATCAAACCTTCCTACAATTTTTACCTAGACTCAAGAAAATTAACAAATCTATCCTGACAGGAATTCTTGAGTACACTGATCCAACAGTGAAGTTCCAGCACTATGAGGTTAATAGCAGAAAACAATAAGCTACCAGCATAGAATCACTATTTTCAGGCAACAAACGAAGACAGCTCTGAAGTTCAAAGCCTTGCTTCCTGCACTGCTGGAAGATTTTTGTTTTCTTTTATAACTTTAGGAACTTTTTTTTACTGGATTGGGGTGGGGGAGAAATCAAGCCACCTCCATTTTTCATCTCTGAAGAAAGCCAAGGAATCAAACCAGTACATTTTTCACTTCAGTCTTGGTTCAACTGATTGAAGCTGTTCCAGTAAACTTAACTGAAAGTTCAACAAAACTTCAAAAGCAGTCATTCAACAACAAAAATTTTAAAACCAGTTTCAACTCACTAGAAAAAAACCAAATGCTTGAACTGTTTCAGATCGCATTCCCAGAAGGCAGGAAATACAAGGGGAGAAAAGCAGCACTTATTAAACGAGTAAAATGTACTTCTCCCTAATCACTACCAAAACCATTACAGAGCTGAAAAACGATAGTACATAACAAGCAAAGCATCTGGCTAACATGCTGTGATGTTATCCCTTACTGAAAAAAATACTGCCAGGGTAGAAATCTAAATTACCAAATTCTGTTCAGATGACTTTATGAAGAATTACACTCAGCTAAACATTATGCTGCATGAGCAGAAATGGTTCCAAATGCAAGAACTTTAAAGTTTGCAGAACACAGATGATCCAAGCACAGTGCTAATCGGAAACACTTCATGTTCAAGAGGAAGTTCTCTCCAGTTCCATATACTTTCCTCAGAAGAGTTCATCAACGTATTATAAAATAGGCATTAGGTAAAGCAGAGCACTGATCTTCCTCTACTAAAGAAAGAAGAGCCTAGTATTAGAAATAGCAGTACTGATACCAATGTTAGAAATGGTAAGAAACCATTTAGGGTAGAATTGGGGGCGTGTTTCTTGTTAATGGGGAATGTTTAAATCTTTCCAAACTATGTACAGACACTCACATTATAATGTTACTTCTATGAGCAAATACATTTATTTCCTTCATTACTGTTTACGGTTTCTAGAAACACAGCCTAGACACCAGGTGGAGTAACTGCTGGTTTAGAACAAGCAGGATCACCATATTTCTCTATCATCTATAGGATTCTGTGAAATAAGCAAATTTATTTACTCACTTGCAAGTCATTTTCCTTCTGAGACTGTACAGACTCTCCTTTATTACAGGACCTCTATGAATGAGAAAAAGCAAACACAATGAGAAGATGAAATTTAACATGATTAACCTGCAACCACCAGAACAAAGGGAGTAGAAGTGCCAGCTACAATTAACTAGATGTCTTAACACTGTCTTGATCTGTGACAGCTACAGCACTAGTATCCATCTGACCTCTGCCCACCACACTATTTCAACAATTCCAAAATCTTTCAAAAGGATGTGCCACTGAGACCAAGCCATTCCTGTAAATAGCCTGCGAGCTGATTTTCAGGTATGTTTTTGTTGTTTCCCAGTATTTCAAAACAAGATTTCAAGGTATGATAAGCTTAGAAGAACATTTTTAATTAAGGGAAAATTAAGTCCCTCTGCATGACATCTGGGATGATAGTCGTCTTGCAGCTAAAGCACTTAAGAGTCGCATTACAGAGATTACATAAAAGCCTTAGAAGGACTACTAGAAGAGGCAAGTTATGAAGCTTGCACACTTGTTTTTTCTATTACCTTATTTTCCAAATTTCTTGTGACTAGAATTTCTTTATTTACAGTATGCTGTCTAGGCTATATGTACAATTTGCACTGGCTGTGCAAATCCAAGATTTTCCTTCAAATGAATTGCCCACGTAAGCTAAAGATGTCTCGGTAAGAACTGCAGTACACTAGCAAAACGTTAACAAATTCCATGCATAATGTATTGTGCTAGGATTGTTAACAGTCATTATAAAGCAGTTTCAGAGTATTAAATCATACCCTCAGCAACTGAACCCTCAATGGCACATGCTTTTAATAGAGCTGCACATTTAAAATTCAAGATGTAATAAAAACCTTGTCCTTTAAAGGGCTTGAAGGTAAGGAGAAGAAAAAGCAAATATTTGCTTAGAATTAGTGACAGTTTGTGGCTGCTATTTATGTTGCAATTCCACCGTTGACTGTTTAAACCAGACTAGCTTTAGAGGCCCATAAAGGTAGCCTGCATCTCCACCTTCTGAACAAAAACATTTGATTCATAGAACCGTGTGCATACCCTTCTGTTCCAAAGGTCTAACATGTCCAAAACAAGGGTGGAAATATGAACTTAATGGAATACAGTTAAGCAACACCAGCTGTCTTAAGTACAATACAACAAGCTAATGATTTACACAAGCTATGCAGTTACAGTATTTCAGAAGCTATAGAAGAAGTATAGTAAACATGAATCGATGGTCTTTCAGCAAGTACATCCCATTCCACTAGGATAATAAATTTAAAACAAGACAATATGAAAACTACTATTAGTTTATATTCCTTTCAAGGAAATTAATAAAGTCAAAACATATTCACTAAAACTAAATGCGTAATTACTCAATAGTATTAAAGTCATTTACAGAGGGCTTCTCTGAACAAGCATGTCCTACATCAATACCACTCTTGCATCTTACAGATTTTTCTTGAACAGTCAGAAAGTTACTCACCATCCAGGAGTCTTTCCTGATTAATGGTGGTCTCAGAATGGTTCAGTTCATCAGAAGGTAAGCAGATTAGGCTTTTCCCTAGAACCTGAACTGGCATCCACTTTCCAGAAGTCACACTGTATAAAGAGCTAGCCAGTTCTAAGAGTCCACCTCAAATTAGTGTTGGAGATAGCCTAATGGCATCTACTGTGCCATTAGAAAGAGACAGTTAGGGATGTGTACTGCAGAGTCATCAGAAAAGGAGACTTCTGCGGCATCCCTTCCTCTTTTCTGTTCCCTCAGCATGGAGCATTAGTGTCCAGAGGAGAATGAATACAAAGGAATTTGTAAATAACTTGCAAATATGAATGGGAGCTTGGAGAGGATCAGTCTTCACAAGTGGCCATGTACTCAGCCTAGAATTAGGAAAGTCTCCAGTACATGTAGTCAAGGAGAATGAAGTAAGCAGGATGGAATTTTATGTAACAGAAGTTTGAGAGTTTAACAGATGTTAAAGTGGTAGGATTTAATTGTTTTCTGACTGCACAATCACCTATGAGAACAGTGGTTCAAAGTGAAACATCCCATACCATGAGGTATTTGACCTACATATTTAGCTCATGTATTCTTGGCTAAACCAATCAAAACTTCAGGTTTTCCATAAACTCTAATAGCTCACTCCATTTATATTCAATTCTGGGAGCTATTTACTTCAACAGCAATGAGGAGATTTTAATTACCCAAATAAGAGAATGATTGAATAACTGCTGGAGGTTTTTAATCACTCTCTCTATATCGAAATACTAACTAGAAATGGACATGTGTTCTACGTCTTTAAGATTTCTTTAAATACTTGTTCAGTGCTGCTTTTATTGCGGGAAGGTTTATTCTCAAAGCAGATTAAGAAAGCTCACTACAATTTTGGGTTTTTTGATCATGGGTCAGTCCACACAACACCAGGCCTGCTGGTGACAGATGGGGTACACCTGTCTCAAAGGGGGAAAAGGATATTTTTTTGCACAGGAGTTAGCAGGGCTCATTGAAAGAGCTTTAAACTAGATTTGAAGGGGGAAAGGGATAAAACCAGGCTCACAAGAGATAAGCCTGGGGGCGGCACATCAATGTTTGAGGGAGGGTGTGCTAGCGAGGTCCTTTGGTCTGCTGTCTCGGTGTAGGTAGGGGATGGAGATCCATGCGGCAGCAAAGACGCAAAGGTTATGGATGTTGTTAGACACCATGGAAGCACCTGAGAATAGTCATGTAGGAATTGGAGCTTCTCCCCCAAAAAAGGTGGCGGGATCAACAGCTCAACTGAAGTGCATCTACACCAATGCACACAGCATGGGCAACAAACAGGAGGAGCTGGAAGCCATTGTGCAGCAGGAAAACTATGACATAGTGGCCATCACAGAAACCTGGTGGGATGACTCACACAACTCTGCAATGGATGGCTATAAACTCTTCAGAAGGGACAGGCAAGGAAGGAGAGGTGGTGTACATTAGGGAGCGTTTTGATTGTCTAGAGCTTAATGATGGTGACGAGAGGGTTGAGTGTTTATGGGTAGGAATCGGGGGGAAGGCCAACAAGGCAGATATCATGGTGGGAGTCTATTATAGAACACCCAACCAGGATGAACGGGCACATGAAATATTCTATAAGCAGCTGGGAGAAGTCTCACGATGCCTAGCCCTTGTTCTCGTAGGGGACTTCAACTTACCAGACGCTTGCTGGAAATACAATACAGCAGAGAGGACACAGTCTAAGAGGTTCCTGGAGGGCGAGGAAGATAACTGCCTGGCACAGCTGGTGAGTGAGCCAACTAGGGGAGGCACCCTGCTGGACCTGTTGTTTCC